TCAGTGGGTGTATTTTATCAACAAATAATTGTGTAGCTCATAAAATACGCTTGTGCAAAGAAAAGAAGCGAAATAAAGAGATGACAACATGTCAAATGATTCATGTTTGCTATATATTTTAACGACATTTATATTTCACAGTTAAGTCATCATCCGTATCATTTATTTAGTTTTTCCGAAAAATAAGAATAATTTTGTTTAATTTGAACAATATTCATATTCAAACACATCTTGTTCACAAATAAAAGGGCATTCATAGTCACACGTATCATCATTCCACTTTTGAGTACTATTTGGTCCCCAGACCGATTCACTGCTAAGAATGCAATTTTCATCATCACCATGATTGTTTGGTTCACCAGGCGCCCAATTAGTAAAGGTGACTCGTTTACCGTTGCCCGCCCATTCCCACGTAACATTATCACCCAATTTCGTTCCTGATGTCCAAAAAACACTTCCAGCATAACCTATTTACAAAAATTGATGAATATTATTATTCCATTTGCAGAATTTATTAAACAAAAATGTTTCCTTTTTTCTTGATTTGAAAATACACATTCCACTGAAAATTACCTTCGTCTTTAATTTTCTGTATAACTTGTTCGTTTTCTTCCTTCGATGAAATGCTCACCAAATTCATGCCAAGGGAACGACAATGAAGTAAAGCTTTATGCCAATTTGCCTAGATAAATTTGGAATGAAATCTTTTTTGGTTATCAATTTTACACAATTCACAATATTCAAAAACATTTACCTTAAACATCATGAAATGATACTTTTTCACGACTTTATGCTTCGGATAGAACATTTGCCCGAAAATCGGTGCTGTAATATATGAAAAAAGATCATAAGATTGTATAATGTTATTTGTTTTTTAAAAATTTCTCACGTACTCAAAAGTGCGATCAACAAAACGCTTAGAATTATAATTAGCTTCATTTTTCATTTGAACGAAACTGACAATGAAATGATTTTAAGTATAATTTTCGTTAAATCAGATTTATAATAAAAAGAATTATAATAAAAGTATCTCGCGATTTGATTCGAATGTTATAAGTGAACTTTATTATTTCAAACAACCAGCTTTATATACAAAAGTTCATAGATATAACAATAAAGGAGAGTGTTGGAAAAGTTTTACAATAAAAGCTGTATTCACGCTAATTTCTTGTTATCGTGATCCTCCAAATTGAGTTGGTTTCTATCACGATAGCAACTGTTATCACACCAGTGACTTCGTTTCCAACAAAAAGAGCTCTTAGGTTAAATTTATTTAAATTCAATCATCAAGTCACTATTTCCCACATATTCTTTGACCGCAAAGACAGTGTAACATCAAAAACATAAAACAAAATAAGGAAATGGTTTTATTCACAAAAACCTATAAAGGAAATCAATTTTGGTTTTATATCAGTGCGATAAGTTTAAAAGAACCATGGGATGAACATTTTCTCGCTGTTCTCCAAAATACGTCAATTTTTTGTATAGATAGATATTGTTGAAATGAAATTGTATAGATAGATATTCCAGACATATTCGTTAATAGTGGCTGAGATATCTATTATCTATCTATCATATTATGTTGTTTGAATGATTGAATTATATTAATTTCTGATCTTGCGTCAAATTAAAAAATATTCAAAGCTTGACTTAAATCAATATTTTACGGCTATGATATTCTTATATACTTTTACTTTTCCGCACACACCTAGTGTGTAAGGGGAAAGTATTGCAATGGGTCAAAATTTACGACATCTCAAAAACACCTCAGGGTCAGAGAACCCGAATCAGGCCGTTTTGAGCATGGTTGTTGTGGGTCTGTTCCACGTCGTAGGTTGTCCTCTGTACGCAAAATTTGTTCATCGGTCCAGAGGATCATTAGATTTTGAGCGACTTTGGTTGATGGAAAAAAATGTCATGCCTGGAGTGATACCTATGAAAAAGAGTCCAATTTTCGTTCAAAAGTCATACTTAATGTAGACTTAAACACTCAAAAATATGTATTGGGGAGTTTTTTGGCACGAAAAAACCGAATCCGACGTTAGTTTTGAGATACAATCAATTTTTGATACAGTTTCCTTGAAAAAATCACAAAAACATTGAATTTTTGTATGGGAGCCATGCCTGTATGCTACCTTAATGACGAGAAACTTTGCACAGACTATTTTTTATGCAAAAAAATAACATTCTGAAAGTTTGAAGAGATTTCACTCAAAATTAGGGGTACCTCCCATACAAAATTTTCAATTTTTGGCTCAAAAACGAATATTTTGTATCGGAGGTACCCTTAATTTTAGTTGAAATTTATCCAAACCCTCAGAATAATATTTTTTTGTGAAAAAATAACCTGTGCAAAGTTTCACACCATTAATATAGCATACAGACATGGCTCCCATACAAAGATCCAAATTTTTTGTGACTTAAGTTATGAAAAGTGTTTCAAAAATAATTTTTATGGCAAAATTAACGTCAGATATATTTATATAGTATTTTGTTAGAAAATAGAATACTTTCAAATGTCGTACAAATGGGTTCATCATGAAAGTGTGAAAAATCTTTTCTCGGGTACTTCTGCTATTAAATTAAAGAATATTTCGTTGCCAAAGTTGAGACATATTTTTTGGTTTCGAACTTTACGACGCTTGAAAGGCTTGAAAAATCGAACAAATATTATTTTGAACTTTCTTAATAAAATACGCAACTACCACCGTGCGGAAAAGTTCGTCTTACCCTATATTCATCAGAAGGGAAGCTATGGTCAATACCAACAACTTGCTCAAGGAAGTTGTTTGAAAGAAAAGGTTAAATATGTCAAGTGTTTACTCAAACATCAACAATCTGACTACTTTTTTCATAAAAATCGCCATATGAAAATTTCTCGATGTAAACGAACAGACGTAACTCAAAACCTGATAGAGATACTGACATGAAATTTCGCACAGATGTCGACGACAAGCCCTGGTAGCACACCAAACAAATAAAAAAAGAATTTCAACAATTCCACTTCTGTGCGAAGTTTGAATAGACAAATTCACCTTACTTTTTGATCACAGTAATATAAAGTAATGTTGACTCCGGCAAGAGAGGAAAACATCCATACGAAACGAAAGATGCAATCAAACAATGAGAGAACGTATCGTGAACTGGTGCTAATGTGTTTGAAGTAAATTAAAATAAGTAAATATCGTATGGAAATAATAAATAATCTTAGGCTGATTGCATTTTTATTGTAAATTTTATTTCTCGTTATTTTTCTATCTGGCTATGAGATGGACCTTGACTCCTATCAAATGCTGAGAGAAATCTCTTTGCATTTATTATTTAGAATTAGTTTTACGTACGAAAAATGTGTGGGCATATTATGTGCGCAAATCGTTGATAATTTCAACGACATGATGTCGACTTTGTCGTGCGCAATAATATATATCATTAAGTAAATTATAGTTATTATACAAACTTATGTTTAGTCACATTCTTATTTGTTCAAAAGAGAATTCGATACAATATTTATGGTGACTCATATCAGCCTCATCAGTCGAGTGCCAAGTGCACAAACAAACACTACAAATAAATCATGTACATTATACGAAAGATATAGATTTCGTTCAGAACTCGTTAGTCGTTGGATGTATTTTATCAACAAATGATTGTGTCGCTCTCAAAACAAGCTTGTGCAAAGTAATGAAGCGAAACAAAGGGATTAAATCAAGTAAAATGTTTGCTATGTGAACGACATTTATATGTCACAGTTAAATCAGTATAAACATTGATCTGGTCGAGAACGAGAGTGTTCAACAAGTTCAAATTGAAAAACGAAATATTCGAAATTGTTTGTATTATCATTATCGCTCCAAATAAATCGCGTTTGTTTTCATCAAAGAAAATTGTGTGAATCGAAATGTCGTTGTGGGATCAAATGTGTAATCCGTAAGTGGCCAGTTTGGACGATAAAGCATATGAATTAAATAAAAAGATTTCGGATTTGCAATCGTTGATAAAAACCAATGATGAGTTTAGTAAAAGGCACCGAAAAAATGCGGAAAACTATGACCTTTGGAATGACCCTAAATGGTATGAGGGATTGAAATTAGAGCGTTTGAACATTTTCCAATCAATTCGAATAGCCATTGATTTGATGACTAGTGTACAGAACATTGTCATTTATACACGATTATCTCAATGGAAACGTGATCAGATTTTATCCGGATATGGTGAATGGATATTCCTTGCGCAAACTCCACAAAGTCCACTTGATGCAAACAGTAAAAATGCATGCCCAAAAAGTGCACTTGATAAGATTCAAACGTGGTTCGTTGAATTGTTTACACTCATCTGGCAGACACGTACTTTGATCGATTTATTAATTCATAACACTTATATTCCGCACAACGAACATGTTCAATTCGAAACGCAAGCTTTAAAAGACATTACATGTCTTCTTAGATCTCTGATAACCTCTTCTTTTATTATAGAAAAGCAACCACCACAGGTCATCAAAAAAGAAACAAAGTAAGAATAGGAAATAAGTAAGCGAGGGGCCACAGCTGCTATTGGCACCGGAGAGGTGCATGAACTAGGTTTGTTCTTATTTCATGTAATTTTTCAAGTGAAGCACCTGAATACAAAGAGCAGCAAGAAAAATTCCCGCACCTCTGCAGTGCCTATAACAACTCTGATTTATGGCCCCTAAATTCCCTAATTAAATATATAGTCCGAAATCCGGACCAAAAAATACGAAAATTGAGGGAGTGGAGTGTAAGTCCGAGCTCACACCCTTCCGCTACCCATGTATGTTTCAAATGAAAGCAAATTGTATTTATAGGTTCGCAGCAAGAGTGCGTCTATTATTGCCGAATATCATTAAGAACCAAAGCCCACCACTGCCATTGGTGGCTGCATCCATTTTATCGGGTCAGCTTTTTTCATAATGATTTTCATTTATTCCTTTTGTCATCAAAACTAATAATAGATAAATCTTATTTCCTCTCTCGTAAAGAATCCCAACTTCATAAACAACTGAGACAATTGCATCCGTTGACCGAATCAACAGGTGAAATTGAGAAAAATACGGGACCATTGGAATGGCAAAATGATCATCAAAATCTGAAATGTCACTTAAATCACATGAAGGCAACGTTCAAGCGAAGTGAAAAGAATCGAAATGAAAGAGTATTGGATCATAAATCGGTCATTCTATTTCAAACGACTCTTCAAATTGGTGACATTCAATTCAATGTGTGGCAGGTATCGGTGCCAGTTGTGTTCATCACGAATATAAACCAGGAGCCACGAGCACAGGCAACAATCGTTTGGGATAATGCATTCGCACGCGGTGATCGTGTTCCATTTATGGTGATCGGGTAGCATGGAGAGAAATGGCGAAGATTTTGCGAATAAAATTCGAAGCTCAAACCGGATGTCGTTTAACCGATGATCATTTGCATCATTTATGTAGGTTTGCTTCCATTTTTCGCGCACACCCAGTGTATAAGGGGGATCGATTCGAATTAATTTTCATTCAAAATTCAAGGTGAAAAAATCTACCGAAATTCAAGTGAAAATGCCGAAAATCTGGAGATTTCTTGGTATCAATTTGGCATGGAAAAGCTTCCCGGTTGTTCGTTTACATTTTGGGATTGGTTTTATGATTGCATGCACTTAATTCGTGAACATCTTTCGGAACCGTGGAACGAAGGGCTAATCGTTGGTTTCATCAGTCGAAATGCAGCCAAAGAAATGCTTGAGCAATGTACGCCCGGCACATTTTTATTTCGTTTGTCTGACAGCGAGAAAGGTAAATAACACCGTTTTGTATCGTTCCTATTACCAATTTTTCACATTTCCGATGAAAAATTCAAATGAAATTTTAGGCAGTATAAGCATTTCGTGGATTGAAGAGACGGAAAATCAAGAGCGCAGAGTCGAAAGTTTGATACCACTTTGTCATCGTACCTTTGATAGCAAACATACAATTATACCACTCAAAATTGGTGACCTCATTAAAGACGTGGAACAATACGTTTATCTCTACAATTTTCCAAATCAATCGAAAACTGAGCTATTTCAAAAATATTGCACACAAGTTGACGAACGATCACCCAAGGTTTATTACGTCCTGCCACATTGTAAGATCGAAGTGCCAACGAAGCGTGGAAGACAACTCGACCTCCATTCATTTGAGGGACTGTGCGAAAATTCCAATGGTGATGTATCATTGGATAACATCTATCCCAGTTATATGGATCTGTTTTAATCACAATATCATGAAATGGTTTACATATTATGTTATTAGTTCAATTTTATATTGCAAATTCTCGGTAATAAATGGTAGAAACGAGGATCTTCAACGATTTTATATAGAAAAATAAGTATCTTATACGATAATGAATACAATATCTGATTAATTTACATCATCGCACAAGATCTGCCAACAACCTTTTTTGGGAGCATTTTTGGGTTTCCTTTGGTAAAATATCGAGGATTGATTCGAAAAGTCAAATAACAACAATATTTTTTTAACAATACACCTAATACCTGCCTACGATCACATCACTTCCTGCACTGCTAAATGGCAGTCAATGATTATTAATCATCATTTTTGATCAGAAACTAACTGCTGATGAAGTTTAAGGTGATTTGGATGAAATAATTCAACCGTTTTTGCCTCGAAATTTTTGTACTAAAGGTACCACACGCCTTCAACCGTTTGAAGCTTTTATGCTTTTTTCAACAAAAGTATATCCTCCAAACACATAAAAATAAAAACAACACATAAAAGTTCCTTATCTCTCAATCACTTCGTATCAAATTCCTGATGACACTATTTGCCTATTAAACAGAGTAAGAAATATAAGGATAGGATCAAAAGATACGCCTAAAAGTATACCGTCACAAAATTCATCGTTAACTTCAAATTATGACCCCGCTTTCGATTTAGAGTGATTACTAATTATTCATCTCTCAAAGGCATAGCGTGTGATAAGGGGAATTGTGAATTAGTGGAAAAAGTATTTTGAAACATTTCTAAGGAAATTCTCCCAATGATTTCTATAGGCAAACTTTTACTGGAAATTTGATATTTCAATACACCTCGAATTAATTTGTTCCTATCAAATCAACTCCATCCAAGTTGTTTCGATTCACATCCTATATTACTTCCGTATAAATGAGAAACGAGCATTCCATTCACAGTAGTATGGATTTGGGAATCGGATGTGTAACGTGTCGAATTGAGTGTCTTCTTTACTTTTAAATTTAGTTTCGCGTCAAATTTCTAAAATAATAAAATTCATTGAATTGGGTCTAAGTTCAATTTTTGATATTAAAGCAAAATTATCAAAGTGCGGTGATTACTAAAAAAGAACTTGGCCTGAATAGCTTGAATATCCATAATATAAAAAGAAATTATCGTTGTTTCAAAGAAATTTCGCACCTTCTCGGTTTATTTGCAAATTACATCATGGCAGGTGGTGATCAAGTTGAAGTGAACAATCCAACACCCGATATTAATACCAAACTACAATACTTGAATTCACTAATCAATGAATGCAATCTGCTGGTAGCCCAGTATAATACCGATGTTCCATTTAACATTCAAAAGTATAAGAGTTATAGGCAAGAAATTCAAACATTGAGATCGTCATTAACACCGATTACCGAGTTTCAACAGAACATTTATATTAATGAATGTGAGCAAGTTATAAACGCAATAAATCACCAACGAAGCCTCATCTCCTCGTCATTTAACAGCATCTTAAATTTATTTGCTGACATTGAAAGTGGCATGATTGAACGATTGAAGGAATGGCGACGTGTTCAACTATTGTCCGGTTTTGATTATCGAAGTCGAGTAACAACTATAGTTGATAAAAGTGACGATCTTAAAAATGAACTCGATACCATTCAGATACAGTACGAAGGCTTGTTTGATTGTGTATTGAATACACGAAATATCTTAAACACCATTTATATCATAAACAACGGAGTGAACATTTCCGACAATGTGCAATCAAAATTCAATCCGAAAATTGATAAACTTCTTTTTGACTTGATTTCGCGCAGTTTTATAATTGATTTACAGCCACCGCAAATTGTCAAAAGGGACATAAGATTTGATGCCAGTGTTCGTTTACTTTTGCCAAAGTTTTTAAAAGACGAACAAAATTATAACGTTAGTGTGTCCATCGTGCCAGGTATGTTATACCTTCAATCGAATCTAGTGATTCAAACTGAAACGAAAGAAACATAATATTCAGAACGTATGAAATGAACGGATTTAAACAACAGAACTCACGGTCTTTTATCATAACCCTTCGATAATTTTCAATTTTTTAAACTTAACTAGAAACCATGGATCCGGAGAGAAAACCATCGGGTAAAATTTGGGTAAAAAATGATCGATTCAAGAGGTACGAAGGATTTCTATGGAAGTTATCATGCAATTTCAAATCATTAAAATTATATAACCTCGACCAACGCAGAGGGAAGAATGTTACCGATCAAAAACACGTTTTTATCTTTAAAACGACAGTCAATTTTGAAGGCACAGAACGAAATGTGAGTATTTTTTTTTTATTTCGAACTTAAGTAACCCATAAGGCTTCAAGGAGTCCGTAAACATTTTTCTTAACATTTTGCAAAATGCACATTTTTCTGAGGAATTTTTTGTTTGAAAAGTTTTTATCATTATGTCCTGTGCAAAAATTAAAATCATTGTGTCACTCAAAATTGACATCGCATTTTGTGAAGCATACTAATAAGCGCCACATGAGCGCCTAAGGAGCCGCTTTTGCGTTCGCAAACGAAATTTGTTTACGGAGGTTGATTTATAGCTCGGTCAGAATCTATGACTTTGAACGTTTATGAGACGTGCTCACTTTTGTTCATGAAATTGTAATATCTCCAAAATATCCCCCATTCAAATTAGGTATTGGTGAAATCATTACCAGTTGTGATCACTTTACATCCATATCAAGAACCATCTGCGTGGGCCACCATTGTATGGAATAATTTGCTTGAATATTACGGTCGACCACCGGTTGCAAGTAGCGCTCCATGGCATGAAATGAGTTTCATTTTGGGCAAAGTATTTCTATCTCAAACCGGTTGTGTTTTATACGATTATGAGTTATCATACTTGGGTAATGTTTGTTGCTTTAAAATATAAAAATGATTTCTGACTATGAAAATTCATTTAACAGAACAACGAGCCATTCAATTGAATTTCATAAGAAATGGTTACATTTCATACCGGCGATTTTGCAAAACAGAACTTGAGAATTTGAAATTGACATTCTGGGATTGGTTTTATGGTATCATGAAGTTAACGCGTGAACATCTTAGTGGACCATGGAATGACGGACTCATTGCTGGTTTCATTGGCAAAAATAAAACGGAAGAAATATTGGTCCAGTGTGTGCCGGGAACGTTTTTACTACGATTTTGCGATATTACGCGTGGTATGTAAAAATGCAAGTTTATAAATTTGGTTTATATTTCAAAAATGCAGAATTGATCTTACAAAATTTGATTTAATTGAATTTTAGGTGGCATCTCAGTTGCTTGGGTTGAGAATAAGAACGGAAATCGTTGCGTTCAGCATTTGAAAGCATTAATTTCTAAAGATTTTGACAATTCAAATCCAAACGGCACAACAATTGGCGATCTGATCAGAAATGTGAACCAATGGATTTATCTCTATCCAAATACGCCGAAGGATGTTGCATTTAACAAATATTATACACCGATCATGACGAGAACTGACGATAATTATGTCATACCAATACGTATGATCATTTAATTTCAACATAAAATATAATGAAATTGATAGAATACTTTGTTTTGGTTTTTGTAGGTTCGATTATTGTACCAACTTATTAATTTTCATAAATTCTTCGGAATTGGACGGTTTTTTATGGACGGTCTCAATTATGAATATCGCCCAAGTAAGATATGGAATAGAATGTATGTGCTTCGGTATGGTTGCAAAAATCATAGAACCTCGGTGTGAATTATGTCCTCGTTCGCATGGAATTTCAGCTTTGACATAAAATGATTTCGACGAAAAGAACCTCGTCTTATTATCACATTTCGATGGATTCCATATATTTATACATAAATAAACATCCATAAGTGTATATTTCGTACGAAATCGAATTGCAGGAAAAACATATTATAAAATGTATAATATATTAAAAAAGCAATAAAAGTTACTTATGTCATTTCTATTTAAAATTTAGTACTTTTGGTTTTTTTGGTAGACATGTTTCTGGCGACATTTGACATCACTTGTCTCTTATCATCATTCTCCAGTACAATATATGTCAAAAAAATCTTATCAAGCATGCGATGTTGCTAAATAAATGAGGAACGAGAGCGCCATTCATTGTAGTATGGATCTTGGATTCTGATGCTTGAAGTTCATTTCTTTACCGTTAAATTCTTTTCGTTCTTTGTCGAAATTTCAGTAGAATTGAAATTGATTCATTTGCATACAATCAAAATATCAAATTTAAAGAAAAATCGAAACGGTTCTCGTGCTGACATTTTTCAATTAAAATCAAAATAATCAAAGTGTTTTAATTTCAATAGTTTGAATATCAAAATTCGTATAGTACAAGAAATTATTTAGGTAATTATCATCTTATCGATTTGCACCATGTCAGATGTTGATGAAATTGAAGTGGACACTCCAACACCCGATATTAATGCCAATCTACAACACTTGAATTCCCTAATCAAGAAATGCAATGTGATGATAGCCCAGTATGATACTGATTTTGCATTTAACATTCAAAAGTATAAGAGTTATAAGCAAGAAATTCAAACATTGAGATCGACATTAACACCGATTATCGAGTTTCAAAATAAATGTTATGCTAACGAATGCGAACAAGTTATAAATTCAATTAATTATCAACGAAGCTGCATCTCCTCGTCAATTACAAGAATCTTCAACTTACTTTCTGATGTTGAAACTGGCATAGTTGCTCAATTGAAAGAATGGCGACGTGATCAACTATTTACTGGTTTTGATTATCGACGTCGTGGAAAATCAAAAGAATATAAGAACGGATATTTCCAGAATGCACTTGATATCATTCAAATACATTACGAGGCCTTGTTTACATGTGTATTGAACATAAAAAAACTTTTGAATAACATTTTTTGTGCAAACTGCAAAATGAAAGTTCCCGAAAATGTTCAGAAAAAATTAAATCAGAAAATTGATAAACTTTATTACGACTTAATTTCGAACAGTTTTATTGTGGATGTGCAACCATGCCAAGTTATACATAAGAGGTATTTTTGACTATTTTTCTTTTAAATTTTCGATTGAAATTCAACTTTGCGTTTTTTTGTCTTATTAGCACTAGGTAAGTGGATTATTGAAATATCAATGAACAAAAAAAATTGAGATTCTTTTTCAGATTTGAAGCCAGTGTTCGGTTACTATTGCCAAGTTTTTTAAAAGATATGGAAGATTACAATGTAGTGGTGTCCATTTTATCAAGTAAGTTTTCGATCGAACTAAGTAAACATAGTCAATGATTATTAGAGTGGTTCCATTTTGACATTGTTTCGAGAATCAAAAATGGTACCCCCTAGTAGATGTCATAGAAACACTACTATGGCAATGGATTTGAAAAAAATGCATTTGCCTTTTTACGCCAGTCCTATGTGATTTTTCTAAAACATTTGAATTTTTATGAATTTTGAAAATTTACAACAAATTATCTTTCGAGGTTTTTTGGCGCGTCACCGGAGACTGTTTCTCAGAGCAATATATGTGAGAAAGAGCGCTCAGAAGAGCCGAAGGAACACTGAAGAGCTGAGCCTCTTCTTCATATTTTTTAAACTTTTAATATTTTGCTTCTCAATGAGGAGGAGCTCAGCTCCTCAGTGCTCCTCTGGCAACTCTGAACGCTTCTCCTTACAAACACACATGTGCGCCAGGCAGTTTTTCGGTTTGTTCCCCACCTGAAACAAATCTTTCAAAATTTACCGCCGGGTACATTTTTTGGAGATTCACCGGATTCGCCGTTCATTTTTCAGATTTGCCCTATAAATTTATAACAAATAGCAAAAATACACTGATTTTGAAGTGGATTCCTGTCACACTTGCGAAATTTCGACTTGCTCCGTTCGCCAACACACATTTTTGACTGTTTCTCTCATACATAATCGTTATTTTAATTTTTTCTATATATAAAATACCACCCTCCTCTCTACCATATATTGCTCTGAAAAGCCGTCTCTGCGTGTCACCAAAGTTCATTTTTTTCGAATCCGTTGTACAGAAATTATAGGGGTACGAGTTTGAAAAAATGTCAAAATCCAACAGTTGGCAATGAATTCATGAATTTCAAAAATTGTTGACCTTCAATTTATATCTTAAACTGAACTAGAAACACCATGTGGAAAGTCGCAAAGTCTCTGGACACCATCGAGTATAATAAATGTAAAAAATAATAATCGATTTAGTTGGTGCAAAGAATATCCAATGCGACTATCGTGCAATTTAATTTTAAAATTGAATGATGTGAAGCGAAATTGTATACGGGGTATCAAAAGAGTAACCGATGAAAAGTACATTTTGCACTTTCAGACAAAAGTAAAGCTTGACGAAATACAATTAAATGTAAGTGATTCTATTTTCAATTTCATTACCATGAATATCTCTAAAATGATGTCTATTTAAATTAGGTGATAGCGAAATCATTACCAGTTGTGATCATTGTACATGGGAATCAAGGACTTCAAGCCTGGGCTAGCATTTTGTGGAATAATATGCTTGAATGGAACGATAGACCACCGACTAAAAGTTGCGTTCCGTGGCGTGAAATGAGTTTCATTTTGGACAAAGTATTTCTATATCAAACCGGCTGTACTTTGTACGATTATGAGTTGTCATACTTGGGTAGGGTACCAACAATGTTTGTTGTTTTATTTCATTTGATTTCGATTATTTTTGACCATAATTTGCAGAACAAAAGGCCATCCAATCAAATCTCCTAACGAATGATGGAATTTCATACACTAGCTTTTGTAGAACAAAACTCACCGACTCGAAATGTTCATTGTGGAAATGGTATTATGAGATCATAAAATTAACGCGCGAACATCTTAGCAGACCATGGAATGACGGACTAATTGCTGGTTTCATTAGCAAAAGTAAAACGGAAGAAATATTGCTCCAATGTATGCCGGGCACATTTTTGTTACGATTTTGTGATACCAGACTTGGTATGTAGTTAAATCAACGCAATATATTTTATTTAACAATTGCAAATTCACAAATGAACGTACAAAATTTGGTTTAAATGAATTTTAGGTGGCATCTCAGTTGCTTGGGTTGAGAATGAGAACGGAAATCGTTGCGTTAAGCATTTAAAATCATTCATTTCTAAAGATTTTGACAATTCAAATCTAGGCGGAACAACAATTGGCGATCACATCAGGTACATAGACCAATGCATGTATCTCTATCGAAATACTCCGAAGGATGTTGCATTTGGCAAGTATTACACCAATCGATCTGAAAATTGACAACGATTAAGTATGGTCCATGGACCAATGGACAGTTTATTGAAACCGTTTATTCTAGCTCATTGGTCCGCAATTTTTACTATTAAAGATAAGTTCAAGACAGAGATGTAATTAAATGAAGCGGCTGTAATTATATCACCACAAAATCAATTATCGCCTACAAAGACACGTGTTCAATTCTTAAATGAATTGAAATGATTTGAACATATTCATGTTTTTCTTATTCAAACGCAGTTTTTCGTAAAGAATTCAGTATATTAGATGTGTTTTAAGTCAAATAAATTGTATTTCCTTCATTCAACTGTATCAATATTGTTTTCACTTTTTTGTCGACATTGCTATATTATTTAAAAGTATAATTTACAAATTCTCCGAATTTGAAAGGTTGCTACTTTTATATAGCCGATAATAAATCATGCTTCAGTTTATTTGATTTACAATAAAGCAAAGGTCAAGAATCATTTGTTTGCATTCATTCTCTTTTATTTAGACTTTGAGTAAATAGAGCTGCAAATGAGTTCAATACAAAAATATGTTTTACATATACTCACCATTCTACCTACCACTGATGTATTGAATTGAAAGTCAATTTCGATCCATATGAAGCAAATTTTATTTTTAAAATTTTTACACACAAATATTTCAAAGTGACACTTTTAAACCATTATTATTGTGAAAGAATTTCGTCGAATACTTGTGTCGATAATTATTTTGAATTTCGATATAATAAAGCAAATTTTAATTCTTTTGATGATTGTTTTAATATTTTCTTTTTTATAAGTTAAGTCAGAGATGGTGATTTCTTCACCGAATTTGCCTAGGGGAAAATGACTCGTTGTAAGTTCATAAGTATCTGTAAGTTTCACAAGTTCGCGTAAGAACTCTTGAGTTCTACATACATTTTTGTAAGTTCGTCTAAGTTTTACGTAAGTTCCTATATATTACTAGTAAGTTTTTCAACGTCAATTGAAAATCGCAGAATGTTGGGAATGGTTATAAATGTTAGTCATGTCGATTCAGATAGAAAATAATTTGTAAAAATAAGTCGAGACAGTTTTCGGGGAAAAAATATCAAGAAATATAAATTCGTCTAATTAGACGTCATTTTTGAAAGAGTCGGTTTTGATAGTGAATAATCAGTAATGTATCTCAAAGATCCATAAAGAATTATTGCTTATGAGTCAAAATCAGGTCTTTTAAGGATGATTTCCAATTTACTAGGTAATTTTTATTTTAAAATGCGTTCTACTCTTTTGTACAAATTATTTGTAGCGTGAAATGTAATTAAAAAAAAATTGACCAGCGTTGCCTCATTTGACTACTACATGTGCGACTGTTTCGGAATTTTGACGCATATCGAACTTACAGCAGTGTGTTAATGTATATGGACAAAGCGTAAGTTCGTATAAATTCTCATAAGAAGCCTGCGATTTCATAAGTTCGTGTAAGTTTTTCTTACAATTCTATAGCTTTCGTCGAACTTAAAAGTAGTCATTTTCCCCTAGCATTTATTACGTATCTTTTACCGTAAATATGAATTCATGAGAAAACTGAATCTGATATAAGTTTTGCGATACAAATAATTTTTG